GGGGGGGAACGGAGAAAACATCGAGGGGCCAGTAGAGGGAACCACCGCTAGAAGATAAGTTTCGCCTCACCTGGAGGCCACGACAACGGAACGTGGTGGCGGGGAGGGGGAGGGGAACCTTGCTGAACAACCGACTGCGAGGTCCGGTAAGGAATCGGCGGCGAAGTCCGCTGGCATCCGAACTACATTAAGCGAGGCACCGACCTCAAGTGGAGCGCCCGCTGAACTCGATACGTTGAAGTCCGCGCGGATCCGGACTTCTTCTGAAAGGACTCCAGAAACAAGGATTGTCGTCGCGGCGGGCGGAGCTATGCGCGTGGGCACCGAAGAGCGGTCTGCGGTATTCTACAAAGTTTCGGGAAAACAGGGTGAATTGCATGGGAGGGATGGAGGGGGAAGAAGGGGAAGAAGGGGAAGAAGAGGAGGAAGGGGAAGAATGGGAGGAAGGAGAGGAAATGGGAGAAAAAGAGTTGATTCTGTTGCGTGAAGGAGAAGAGGGTGAACAAAGGGATTTTGATATTGAAGATGACGAACGGGTGGACATTGAGGACGATGCAAGCTGTGAAGAGTCGTCAGACTCGTTTGGGCTGCTATATAGAGAGGATCGCAGCCGTGATGTCCACGACGGTGCAATGACAATAAAGATGGAGACACAGGTGGTCAGTGACCTTTCAGCAGACCCTGAAGATTATGAGATTCAACCGGTGACGGATGCAATCGATCTCCAACACCGGTGCGACGAGGTTTCCATTGCTGTGAGCCCGGTTGAACCAAGTCCGCTGTTCAACATCGTCGAAGTTATCGATGGCATACTCAGCGACGAGCAGGTGTCCGCAGAACGATCGGCAACAATTGTCGTGGACGACCCCCGCAACGTCACACCTTTTGTACCCTCTGCCGCCGTTTTCTCACCACCCACCTCTCTAACACTGGCCACCAACTTTGCAAGCGGCTGGGAGGGCGAAGTCGGGGGTCGGCAACATGTTACGTCCCCGAAAACATCTAGGGTCGACAGTCAAGCCCTTGACGTGCTGACCATACCCGCGCCAACGTCACCGACGAAGGAGCGAAGGGATAAACTGGCTGGTAAGTAGTGATGAACGCCACGACGTGCGCGTTCCCGAACGATGAATCTGGCCAACTCACTTGAATGACGTTTTTTTCCTCTCGGAGAGAGTGATGGTTTAAGTCTGTCGGGACCACACTTCCTGTGTCGATGTGTAATGTGGTCAGTCTCGATGTGCCTGTTGTGGGAAAAAGTCTGCCGAAATCCGAACATCGGGAAATGTTGGCCTTCTGCTTCTGTGGCTTGTTGTTGTTTTGCTTTGTAAAGGTCGGGGATCTCTACTTCAATGCAATCGTCGTTTTGTTGTCCAGCCGCACACATGCAGCTGCGTGGTCATGCCTGTACAAATTCGGAGTTCTGTAATTGGAGAGGTCCTGCGTCTTGTGGGTTGGGTGGTTCTTTTACATTTTCACATTCGTCCGACTCGTGTTGGGATAAGTGTATTCATTTTCTGTTTTGTCTTTCTTTTGTTGTACAGGGGTAGGGTCCTTTGTATTACCGCGGGCCATTTTACCGCCCGCGGTCAGGATCTAGACCGCGGCGGCCGACCGCTTCCGGCCGAGTGTGGGCATGAAACCCTGATATTTTTTCAGGTCAAAAAAATAGGCAAAAACCCAAAAATAAATAAATAAATAAATAATATATATATATATATATATACAGGGTAACCGGCGTTCGGGATGGTCCGAACGCCCGAACGTATGGGACCCCTTGGGGATGCGTTCGGCCGTTCAGGCCGAACGCGGACCCAAAAAAAAAAAAAAAAAAAAAAAAAAGTCATCAAAAAAATCTGAAAAAAAGATATGTTATGGAAAAAAAAACATTAAACAAGATTTGCCTGAGAACTACGTCCGAATTTCTTACCAAATCTGAAATAAAAATAAAATACACAGAATAAATACTAATAATAAAAATAAATAAAAGTAAAAAGATAATTAAATTTAGTGAGTGTGCGAGCATGTTTTCGACACCACCATCTTTGGCGATTTTTCATTTTTTTTTTGGCATAGCTAACTGCCTTAAAAATTTACAAATGTGTACTTCACATAATACCAAACCCACTTAAAAAGTTTCAAAAATTAATAAAATTGTTTAGACCCCGAACTGAAGTGAAAACAAAAAGTCAAAAGTGAAAAAAAACGTGGGCGAGCACGTTTTGACACTGCCATCTTTGGCGGTTTTTAATTCTTATTTGGTTGAGCTAAATGACTTGAAAATTTACAGGCACGTACCTCACGTCATAGAGAACTCAGAAAAAACAAATCAGAAAACAATAATTAATTTTAGGCCCCGAAATAATTTTTGGTGGGGGCCGAATGCCGTCGGGTTCGGACCCCGTACGGGACCCCGAACGCCCGTACGTACGGAGGTCTGCCCGGGGCTCCCCGTACGTACGGGCTGGTGACCCTGTATATATATATATATATATATATATATATATATCGTCAGAAAAGCAAATCAGAAAACAATAATTAATTTTAGGCCCCGCGCCACTGCACTCCACTCCACTCCAGTCTACTACACTCCACTCCACTCCAATCCACTCTCCTGCACTCCATAATACCTCACTCCATTCTCCTCCCCTCCACTCCACTCCACTCTATTCGACTCTACTTCATTCCAGTGAAGTCCACTCCACACCACTCCACAGCAATCCACTCTACTCTACTCCACTCGACTCTACTCTACTCGATTCTTCTCGACTCAACTCTGCTCTACTCCACACTACTCTACTCCACTCTACTTTGCTTTACTCTATTTCATTCCACTATAAACTACTTTGCTTTGTTAGAGTCAGTTTGAGCCCATTTTTAGTGTGGTTTTAGTTTCTTTGAGCGTATAGGTCCATTCGAGCCAGTGTGAGCAGTTTATGTGATGTTCCATATTTTTGTTGTTAGTGCGGGCATTGCCGCACAGCCCGCAATGCAGGCGCCCACATTGTATCCGTCTCCCTCTCTCCTCCTTTTTTCTCCTTTTTTTTTTCTGAATTTTCAATCTGTCATTTTTTTAATTCGTCAATTGTGCTTTGACTTCGGAGTCGGTTTAAGGCTATTCTTTATTACCCTTTGATTTTTTTTAATTTTTTTTGAAAGTCTGTATGAGTTTATATGAGCGGTGCGTGTGAGGTTACTCCCTACATTTGTTATTTCTGCGGGCGTAGCCCGCACCGCCCACTCCGTGGGCGCTTAGCTAATTTATATTATATACATATATATATATCAACCAATAGAGTTGCCCAGTAAACCATAGGCAGATAGGGAGAAGAGGACAAGAAGTGAGAGACTGTGACAAACTGTTTCCTCGGAGTTTCACTGACTCATCAGGAGGCTGAACCCTTATATATAATAGCTAGTTGCCCGTGGTGTGGGGTACGCCCGCAGAAATAACAAATGCAGTGGGTGACCTCACACTACATTTCAGATGGCTCGCCTCCATGTTCGTACGCAGAACAACGACGGCCTACCTCGGGCCACGATACAACAGCCGCGCGTGAAGTGAAAAAAGAAGAAAGGAAACGAAAATAAAATAAAATTGGGGGGGGACACAAAATGACAGGCGCGAGAAATGAAAAAAGGAGAAGGCGGACACAAAATGACGGCCAACAGGGGAAAAAAAAAAAAAAGCTGCACGGATCGGATGGCTCACCTTCAAGATGTTTGTCCGCATCAACGTCAGCTGTGTGCCCCGCCCTCGGGCACGTGCTCTCATTTAATGGCGCGCTGTGCACATTTCGGTACGCGCACCCCTCTCCACACTCCCCCGTCCTCGATCCCCTTCATCTGCCGCCCCCCACGAAAACTTCGACTCGAATCTGGTGCACAACTCATCATGGATATATATATATATATATATATATATATATATATATTGTCACAAAACTATTGACTAAGAATGTTAGCATGTGAAATAGAAGATGAAATAAGATAAGCGAAGAAAAGAAAAATGAAAGGACAGACAGGCAAAGAGATAGACAAACCAGAATGACACAAAACAGTGTCCTCTTATTCTTTGTTTCACAATATTATTATTTCTTTCAGTGTTTTACAAAAAAAAATACATCGAATCAAAGGATAAAAATAAAAAACCAAGACACATTGAAATCATTCAATTTCTCAGTCTTCTTAATGCCTCCTCCACTGTGCCTCTAACGTACAAGGCTCGCCACGTTGATGAAGTTGAGCGTGAGCTGCCCCCATCTCCGTATGCCATAACAGCCCACTTGCACCCTATGGGAAAGAGGAAGAGTGAAGGAAGAGGTGTCAAACACAAGGGAGAGAGGAACAGAAAAGGAAAATCGATAGGCAGAGGGAGAAAAAATAAAAATAAAATAACGGTGACATAGACATCCTTTTTTTTTTACTGCATTCTTCTTTCTTTCACAGTTTTGCAGTTTTGGTGAAGAGTCTACCACGTTCATTTTTCAGCGCATCTGCACTTCCTTCTTCATTTTTTATTCTTATTTTCACCCTTCGGACTTTTTCTTTGAGGGTGTTAGGGTGCACGGTACAAACAAAGTAAAAGGACGCAAACTTATGTTCTTCTTTTACTGCATTCTTCACTGTGTTGCAGTTCTAGTGAAGGGTTTCCCACCCTTGCACATTCTTGTACACTCTTTTCAACGCACCTGCACATTTTTATCAGGGTGCAAGGTACGTCTAAGTCAGACCCTCATGATAGATAGGACAACTATCATAAGGATGCGGGCGATGGTCGCAGCCCTCCCGCTCATCTATAGGACGGAAACCATTAAGGTAAGCAACTTCGTCACAGCAGGAACCAGGACGGCTAGCATCGACCATACCTCTGAAGCATGCACGGCAGAGGGCATGCCGGTTGCAGGTCATGACCATTGTGGGGCGTTCACCATCACAGTTAAGTGCACATTCGCTATAGCGCCCGTAGGCACAGATGGACATACTGCATGTGGATGCAGAGGATGTTCACAATCTGGATACAGGTGGCATCCCTGCCGACAGTGGGCCCTAAAAATTATATGGTTGTAGTGATGTCGACAAAGTCGATGCTTTCCACAACCAAGTGTAACTATGTCAGTGATCTCACAAAGAAGGAGGTCACAAGGTGTTAGTGAAGCATGCGAGGGAATGAAGACTAAAGCAGGCGCGGTGACAGACATGAAGGTAGGCACGGAGACAGACACAGAAACGAGCATGGAGATAGACACAGAAACAGACATGGAGACAGGTGCGGAGGCAGACAGAGAGACAGGTGCAGAGGCGGGGACGGAAGTACACGAGGTACCTATAGGGTCAGTAACCAGGAAGGAGACAGACAGAGAAAGAGGCACAGAGACAGGTACGGAGGCAAGCACAGAGATAGGCGTAAAGGCGGGCATGGAAGTACACGAGGTACCCATAGGGTCAATGACCTGGAGCAGTTGCAGGTTAGGGTGATTACGCACGAGATCATAGATGGCAGTAATAGTTTGCACCATAGCACCGCCATTCCATAATTCCCAAGAACCAGAGGCACGAACAAGAGCGGTGTACTGGCCAGGAGTATGTAGAATATAGGCACAAACGTGCGAACAGTGGTCCTGGTCGCCACCTGAAGGGGCACGCTGCATATCAAGCCGGCGCCTTATCAAAGCAGTCTCCAAAACAGAGACATTGAATCCCCCATGTCGAGTGTAATTACTATCCTGTGGGGGATGCAGAGTCAGGTTATCGCCATATAACTCCCGTTCCTAAGCATCAAGATCGGAAACAATGGCCAAGAAATCAGTGTGAGTATATTGTTCCCGACGATAAGACTTGTAGGCAGATGTTAGTAGCAGTGAGGCCACACAGATTTGGTGGAGGCCGGTCAGGCGGATTTTCTACAGAATCTCCTACAGTCCCCTTACCAAGTTCATTCTCAGATGGTCCCTCGTTATCATCCCTCCTGTTTTGTGTTTGCCGCGTTGGAGAAAGGTCTGCAGTCGAAGAGCGTTGCAGGCATGGTAAGGATGCTTGGGGCGGCAAAAGACGGGGACGGGATGTTGGGGAGGGTCGTGGTGGGGAGAATGAACGGTTTCTTCTTCGTCCAAGAACAGAGATGGAGGAAAGGGGAATAAGCTGAGGTTGGGAAGTAGGTCGAAGTCGGCGTCTAGAACGGCGAAGTCGGCTTTCTGCAGGGGCAAAACATGATGACGGAGTCTGTGTGGACGAAGTGGTTTGTGGATTAGGAAGAGGGGTAGTGGATGGAGACAAAACCAGGGAAGGTAAGAGTGGTGAAGACAGGGGTGGTAGAGTAGTCAGAAGCTGGGTAACAGACAACGATAAAACCAGGGGAAATAAAGGCGGTGAAGACGGGGGGGATGAAGTCAGCGGTGGTGAACTGGATGAAGCAGAGATAGGGGGGGCAGTCGTACGTGAGACCCGAAGAGGGGACTCTGCAGGTGGTAATGCAAGCATGGCCACGGATGCCATGGAGGAACGCACCGAGACCAAGGGCGGCACAACAGCTGAGGTGGTCATGGATGCCATGGAGGAACACACCGAGACCAAGAGCGACACAACAACTGCGGTGGCCACGGATGCCATGGAGGAACACACCGAGACCAAGGGTGACACAACAACTGCGGGTCGAGTTGCTCCCACGGAATCAATTGTAGAAACAACCAAGGCCGATGAGGAAGAGGCTGCGAACCGAAAAGGGGCAGCCAGGGTCACAAACGACATGGAAGGGGTTACTAAGACTGATGAGGACGCAGGTGCGGTAGACGTAGGTAATGAAGAAGAGGCTGTGAGAGGTGTGACAGGCACCGATAATGAAGAAGGGGCTATGACAGGCCTAGTCCGAGGACGGTGTGTGGATATCCGAGAAAGCGGGTGATGAATAGACCATCGAAGCATGCTGCGGAACCAGCTGGAGAGTTGGATCACGTGTGCAGGATACCTGTGTTGACGTTTACGAATATAGGAAGTCCATCCTTTCGCAAACGTTGTTGGAGAGTGCCCGTGAAAAAGCATGCAGCGTGTGAGCATCGCTGCTGCAGTTTTGAAATCATACTAGTTGTTGCAGACATACTCAAACCTAGTAAGCTGGCATGTAAACACTCCCACTCGCGGTGTACAGGGATGTTAGACGTAGCACTAGGATAACAAATAATAGGGAAATTCCATTCAGCTGCTTTGTCAAAGACACTCATACGCAGGGAACCGTCAGGGCGGACTTGGAGGCGTGCACCCAAGAATGTGCAAGAGCCATCAGGTGTTGTGGTCTCCTTCCATTCGAGGCCATAGTGCTCTGACGGTGGTGGCAGATGTCCCCATGAGAGAACATCATCGATCAAGCGGTATGTGAACGCATACCGTTGAGCTGTGCGAAGATCACGCCTCTTGAGGTCATCAACAAACCGAACCTCATCCCAATACAACGTCAAATTAACTATCTCCGGACCAGAATTAGTCCCCATCGGGATGCCAATCAGCTGATGTCGCAAGGTGCCGTCTGTTGTGACAATGAAATGGAGATGTTCAAGAATTTAGGAAACGGTCAAGGTGTTTGGTTCGGTATCAACCGTCCACTCCCCTTGACGAGGCCCTTTAACAATCACGTAAAAGGTAGGAGGATGTGTGCGCCCCTGTGTGTGTTGTTGTAAGGCATATGTATAGACTTCCTCAACCGCTTTTGATACATTATGACAAATACGGTCATGAGGAAGATTGATATACATAGTTGTGAAATCAACAGTACGAGGAGCATGGTCACGAAGAGAAGAGGAATTACGTTTGAGATCAAGCATCACCTCCTCAGCGCTTTGCACGATCCAGCACCGTCTCACACCGCTTTGCCGATACAACACATTATCCTTCTCACGGAGAGTTTCAATGACTCCTTGTAGTGCAACGCTGAGGCGGGCAGAAGCGACGGTAGTACTGGCCAAGGGTTTGTGGGGAGGTCGATGGTGGACTGCATGAACATATGGCGCAGTTGATCGAGATCGCTGCAACAGGGAGAGATTATTCCGCTTTGTGACGCCGACAATACTGCGAAGCACAGGGGGCGATTTGTGCGCTTTAAGTGCATAGTACAGATCTGGCAGCTTGTCTTTGTGTGTATATCCCCACCGATGATTCCAGAGCGCGTGATGTTTCAGAATATCTACGACAGACTCAAGAGACACATCATAGGTAGGGCTGTCCAAATGAGTAGATAGATGAGACAGATACCAATTTTTACAACAGATGGCCAAGTTAGGTGAGGTCTTGTCGACATGAACAATAGCAAAGTGTTGTTGAAGGTGTCTCAAAGCCCTGTGCACTGAGTGAAAGGAGTGCGGTTGTCGTGTGGTAGTATGGGGGGATGAGATGTTGCTTTGGCAACATGTGAGAACGGTTGAGCGCCACTGCTGCACTTTGTTCAGAGCGGCTGCTCGGAGAGTCGGAGACCGACCTCAGGTATTTAGCAATATACTCGTCAAGGCCGACTCTAACAGCCAGAAGCACCTCAGTGATTTGTCCATTAAGACGATACTTCGAGCCTTCATGGAACAAGTCGCGGAGGCGATCATCAGGAATGATGTCACATTCGGCTGTAGCAACATTGCCGTCGACTAAATGTGAGCAGTCAGGAAACACTTTCCGACATTGACAGTCTGAGGGGTCAGGCAGGGAGATCCCACATGCGACGCTGAGCGCAACTTCCATGAAATTAGAGAATTGGACGCGAGTTGGTGGCAACAACTTATCACAGATATGCAGGTGTGTTGCGGCATCAGGGTAAGGGTGCAAGTGGAGCACCTGGGGTGAATGCATAGTTTGTCGCAGCCCCGTTATCTGAGACACCTCGTGCATGTGCACAACTTCAATATGATCAAGGAAGGCATCTCGAAACAGAGTTGTGTATCGCTGGCGGAAATGTTGATACTTCCAAATCAGGCATTCAAGCTGACGGATATGCGCAGTCATATCTGCATTGAAAATATTATTGCTCAACCACTCCAACAAGCGGGCACGCCAAACTGACGTTGCTCGTTGAATGACAGATTCCATCTGTTGCGAATTGTCAGCAGGAGTTTGTGAGAGAAGTTTCTGCAATGCAGACCGGACTTGAAAGTCGGGGCTTGGACGCAAATCAATAGGATGGAGCTGTTGATGGTCTGACAGACGAGGGCATGTCTGTGTCCACCGATGAGGACGACGTTGTCGTCTTCTTGCAGGCGGGCGAGCAAGCGGCAGGACGGCGTTGAGACCAGCTGGATGAAGAGTCCGCAACCGACGTACCCAATCGGCTTCCCGTGTCGTAGCAGCCCGTCGGAAACGGTTACGGTCAAAAAGACCTTGCGGTATATGGTAAAGGGTCGGGCCAATACGTTCCAAGGGTCAAACTGCAAAATTGAAGGGGTTTTGACAAGACATAACATCGTAAGAGAGGGTCCATACCTGATTGCAATGTCTGTTGATCAATGCCTCTCAGCTGCAATTCGAAACGCTCTGTTTGAATCGCCGTGTTAAGTTGTTGCAACTGCCTCTTGCGCCAAGTGCCTACAGAGTAGAGGTCGGTATTCCAGCGAAGGTGCCGAATCCAATCAACGCGACGTGTGAAATTGGCGTGTAGATGAGGTTGGGAGGAAAAAGCAGAAAAGAGTCGATAATTATTATGAGACACTATACCTAAAGTAGTGTTGACAGGAAATCTCCCAAGAATTCCCTGATCCACCGTGTCTAATGTAGTGTCAACAGGAAATCTACCAAGGATTCCCTGACCTATGTTGTCTGGAACTACGCCTACTATGCCAGTAGTAGGAAACTTCCCGAGAATCCCCTGATTAATCATTTGTGTTGAATTCATTTGTTTAACTGTGTAACCGTTTGAACGTCGTGAACGCGCGTTCGCATTCAAATGTGCGTTTGAACACGGATTTAAATTCGCGTTCAAAATTGAACGGCGTTCAATTATGTTTTTATTTTTATTTTTTAAATAATTTCAATACCTACAAATAACTTTTTTTTTCTGATTTTTTTTTTAATGAGTTTTGTATGATGTGAGGTACATGCCTCTCAATTTTGAAGTCATTTTGCTGAGGCAAAAAAAAATGAAAAACCGCCAAAGATGGCGGTGTCAAATCGTGTTCGCTCACTAATTTCAATTCTTTTTTTACTTTTTTTTATTTTCTGTTTTCTATTTTTTTTTCCAATTTGGTAACGAATTTAGATGTAATGCGCAGGCAAATATCGTTTATTTTATTTTTCTTCATAACATTTTTTTTTTCGGAATTTTTTGAGGGTTTTTTTTTTTTTTTTTTTTTTTTTTTTACCTGCGCGGAATTGAACTCCGCGTTCGGTCCCGTTCATTGAACGCGCGTGCATTCCGTTCAGTTTCTGAACGGAAAACCCGCGTTCAATGAACGCAAGGTTTCACAGTTGTTTAAAATTAACGTTTGTTTTTTTGAAATTTTTCATTTTTTGGTAAGAGAAGAGACGGAGAGATGCACAGAAAAACAAAGTTTCGGGCCCGGCAAACGGTTCGGGAACTGATCCTGCCGTCGTCCTGTTCGTATGGTATTCACCATTAGCAGTTAGCCAACAAAATGTTGGTTCATGTATGACTCTGCATCCCCCGGTGAGTGTGTCGTGACCCAGTGTGATCAAATGTGATCCTAGTGCTCACAGCCTTGCACCGACCGACCAACAGTGTCAGTTCAGCAAAAGCAAGCCAACCTGTAGGCTTTATTAATGTGTGAGGATTACACGAAAGAGTGTGATACGAAGAGGTGAGATGGGCATGGGGGCTGCCACCCGGGTTTGGGTAACCCTAGGTGTGCAATAACTATACCCACTACACGGGAAAAGGGTGACAACCTGTTTCCTTGTGGTGACCGCCACCACAGTCCTTATGTGCACGATACCTTATACAATAACAAAATCGTAGCACCAAGCAACGTACCAGATCAAACACCTAACAGAGCTAGTATTGTCCAAACATAAAGAAAATAATAACAAAGCAGCAGGTTATCAGAGAACCCGCCAAATGAAATACAGCCCCAGAAAGGATTCAGGAAGCAATGAGAGAACAGGGGGCAGAATGCAGAACGCAGATTGACGATACGCAATCTATACATCAATGAAAGATATCAATTGAAGATTCAATTGAAGAATCGCCTGGTTGTACAGGCCCGACGCTCGCCGTTCGATCTGCAAACGCAGAGAGCTAGCAACGCCAACATATATATTGTCACAGAACTATTGACTAAGAGTGTAAGCATGTGAAGTAGAAGAAGAAATAAGATGAGCGGAGAAAAGAAAAATGAAAGGACATAAGGCAACGAGACAGACAAACCAGAATGACACAAAACAGTGTCCTCTTATTCTTTGTTTCACAATATTATTATTTCTTTCAGTGTTTTACAAAAAAAATTACACTGAATCAAAGGATAAAAATAAAAAACAAAGACGCACGGAAATCATTCAGTTTCTCAGTCTTCTTAACGCCTCCTCCATTGTGCCTCTAACGTACAAGGCTCGCCACGTTGATGGAGTTGAGCGCGAGCTGCCCCCATCCCCGTATGCCATAACAGCCCACTTGCACGCTATGGGAAAGAGGCAGAGTGAAGGAAGAGGTGTCAAACACAAGGGAGAGAAGAGCAGAAAAGGAAAATCGATAGGCAGAGGGAGAAAAAATAAAAATAAAATAAGGGTGACACAAACATCTTCTTTCTTTTACTGCATTCTTCTTTCTTTCGCAGTTTTGCAGTTTTGGTGAAGAGTGTACCACGTTCATTTTTCAGCGCACCTGCACTTCCTATCATCAAACAGAGCTGCCGGGTAAACCGTAGACAGATTGGGAGAAGAGGACAACAAACGAGGGGCTGTGACAAACTGTTTCGTCGGAGTTCACCAACTCATATAATACAAAATATAAAGTGAAAAAAAAAATTACATAATAACAAGAGAATTATTCTCTATCTAGATTTCATACACGTTTTTTTTCATTCTATAAATTAAAAATCTAATAAATTTTCTAATATACTTTATATTTCCACTTGCTGGCTGTCTCCTGCTGGAAGAGTAACATTCAATCCTCCAACCTGACCTTGACCCCTACCATCTTGCCTAACTCTCCTTTACCCAACTTTGTGGTGGTCTCTCTCTCTCTCTCTCTCTCTCTCTCTCTCTCTCTCTCTCTCTCTCTCTCTCTCTCTCTCTCTCTCTCTCTCTCTCTCTCTCTCTCTNGTGGTGGTGCTACACATGTGATACGAGCATCCCCAGGAGCACCCTCCTCAGATGACTCCGGTCTATTGGTGAATTTGGTGAGGAGCGGCACCTACTCGAAACTGGGTCCAGAGTCCCGTACAAAAAAAATACATGAAGAATGTAGTGGTGCATTTCTCACTAACTTCGCTCTCCAGATGTTTGACAGAAGTGCTCTCATTTCTTCCTCTACTGTCTGTTTGATTTCTATCAATACGTTTCCTGGTGACCTGTTGCTGTCCTCAAATAAGTTATTTCACATCTCCTTTTCCACAGGGCTCAGAGAACTACCCCCTTCCTCCATCCTTAAATGGCTGTTTTGCCCTGAAAGGAGAAAAGAATTAATCACTTCCACAATCCATACCATCTCTACCTCACTAAGCCCATCTCCACCAAAATTATGGGTCTTCACCCCCTCAAGGAGCTGACACATGGTCACCCGCCCTCCAACCACAACCGTTTTAGCACCGAGCAGATCCTGTGATCGGCCATAGGCTGCAACTCCCCCAAGGCAGCCCCTGACACCCGAAGAGATGGAGAATGCACCCCCTGCCACAATCTGCAGGCGAGTTCTGGCCATCGTGCTCCTCAAGATCAAAACCACACAGACGGGCAAGGTGCTCAGAATACTTGAGTCTTTGAAAAAGCCGAAGGAGGGACTCTGGAGGACAATTCGGACAAATAAAGTCCACCCGCAGTTAAACCCGAACAAAAGGATCACCGTCAACATCACAACGAAAACTGAAGTTACCAAATCAAGTGGTGGAATGTCCAGGACCAGCTCGCTACTGGTCGCTGACATAGAAACCTTAGACCCTGCCGGCTTTTGTTGAAGAGACTGTCTGCCCCCCACACTCCATCTGGGCAAGACCACAACTGCATCTGGGCACACAGCTGCATCCTCTACCACAAGTTTCTGAATCCTCAATGCGGAGATCACATCTTGGGCACACTGGATTCTATCCTCCGGTGTGGGCTCCAACAACTTGTCCAGCACATCCGCCAGATACCCGCTCATCTGCACCTGGTCGCGAAAGTGGATCCTGAGCCGCTTCTGCGGGAAATCCGACGGCTGTCGACCGGACAACAAATATAGCATGGTTCCCCCAAGAGCATAGAGGTCTACCTGACTTACAAACCTGTTCTGAGACTGCTCAGGGGCCATGTATCCATGTGTCTCGAATCCCCTGCTACTGGCTTCTACCTTCGGCGCCATCAACCCATCTTGCAACGCCCCGAAACCAGCCACCTTGACATGTCCCTCCCAAGTCGCTTCCAACTGGGCACTCTTAAAGTCAACGATTATGTTGGCGGGCTTGATCTTGCCATGAACTACCTGCCAACTCTCCAGATATGACGGAACTCGAAGTACCTCCACAGCTATATCCACAATGTCATTCTCAGAGAACCCAAACCTCGTCTTCGACACCAGTTCCTCCAAAGACTGACCGTTAGGAAACTTCTGGACAAGATAGAACGCATCGGCTTCAAAAAAGTCCACATACTCCGGAACACCATGAGGACTCAGGTGGTTCAACACCTGGGCCTCTCTCTCGAAGAGCTGGATGTCTTCCCATGCTGACATCAATGAAAGGGCCTTGACTGCCACCCTATCCCCTTTCTTTGTCTCAGCCTCGTAGAAGGTTCCTAGACCACCTCCCCCTCCCAGGAACCCCTTGATGACATACCCCCCTCCTTCCAGGGAGTCCCCAAAGCCATGACCAATTTCAATAGGTTCACTACCCCAGACATGTTGTTGTGGAGGTGCCGTCCCAGCCGCCCCTCCCCCAGGTGTCAATGCAGCCGATGCCACGGTTTCCACGACGGACCCCTCCATCGTATCAGATCCTTGGGATCTTGCCTTCCTCATCGGATCGCGTAAGGCCTATCTCCCGCTGTCTCGACGGCCTACTGAAAATGTCACCCTCCTCCAGCAGACCAACTTGAGTCCACGAGTTCATTAGGTGTCTTCGGCTGTACGCATAAAACAGCAGTTGTCCATCAGATGGGCTGGAGGGGGGTGGGATGGGGAAAGGAAGGAAAGAGGGAGACGAGGGAGGGGGAACGAAGAAAAACGGGGGGCGTTGGGGGGGTGGAGGTGAAGGAGGAAAGAAGGACCATGATCCATCATCCATGAAGGAGATAATAAACCATCACAGGGTTATAATTAGCCATCTGAACGATGTTACTTGGATGTCGCCAGAAGTATTCTTCTTGTTCCATGTTTAGTAAGCCCATTGCCACATTCATATAATAATAAGAATAGGGGTAATGATGTCTCAGTCAGAAAATCAGTTTGAAAATGCACTCCAGGCATCCCCTAACATAACACACCCCCATTCCACATTTTCAGGCCTGTTGCCTGGAATGCATTTTCAAACTCAAACCCTGACTACGCCCTAGTTTTCAAATAATAATAATAATAATAATAATAATAATAATAAAGGGCCCATCAATCTGCAAGTCAGCATTTTGAAAGTGGAAAGGGGACAACTCTTGCAAGGATTGATGTCA